CAGCCATTTTGTTTTGTCGAGTATTTAGGCTACAAGTTTAATTCTATTTGACTGGTCGTCTTCCTTCCTCCTGCGCAGGTGGGCGTGGTTTTACGAAGAACGACCAGTCGAATACGGCAATTGTTACGTCAAAATAGTGATTCCTGTGTTATTTGTTCCCACTGACGTCTCATCCGCCAAGTTTTTGCTGTGTCCAATCCTTCATCACGGGTTATAATTCACCTACAACTGTTACTAGGCCTATCTCAGTTTTTTTTTCTGTGTTTTAAGGGTGTCCGAAGTCCTACTGCATGACCATCGTATGGTGGACATTGAAGCCCAAGATCACAACCAATCAAGAACTTTTTAGATGCTTTATTCAACAGACAGGGATAAATATTGACTATAAATTAATTATGACGTCATCTGGGACTGGTTTAACCCTCCGCAGCGTACCCATGACCGATATATCAAATCGTATTTCATAATTACTATAGGCCTATAATACCTCCAATAGCAATAAATCCAAGCGGGTTTTAATACATTAAAGGTAGTAATGAATGACGACTTTGCGGATTGTGCAATAACATCAGATTAACTCGGTATCTCACAACAATTTTCATGAACATTATAATTTCCGTAGGGATATGTTAACTACCTAGGAGTCATGTGATCAGATTTAAGCGTGTTTACGTCACAATTTCATCTACAGTACGTTTATTCGTTTGGAAATATGTATTCTGAACCTCTAAACTCTTGGTGGTCTTCCACAGCCGGTAATTATTACCGTCATCATAATCACCTTCCTCATCGTCATTGTCATCGTGATTATAATCACCAACTTCCTCATTATCAATAACATTATTTATGCAATCTTAATTGTAATTAACATTCTCCTAGATTACAACGTATCCTTCTGCACCAGTACGTGTACGTTTCTGTAACCTCCAGCAATGCCACGTAAACATGTACAGTAACAAGATGTGCGTGTATTGAATAGAGAAATTGAGTATGAAACTGAGTGTTTGCATATCAATAGTCTTGATTAGTCTGCATTATACTAAAATATAAACATCCTTAATTATTGGTCCCGAATGGTGTGATATAATGCGCGTCTCATTAGACTATCGCGTACACACGGGGATGATATTTAACATTAAGACTCGTAAACCCTTGGAGACACTGCGACTCTCAATTTCCCCCAGATGCGTGTTCATCACTGTCTTGGTTTACATTGTGTTACATAGATACAATCTAATCATGTGTAAACGTAGAGTGTCTCGCCATCTCTTTATAGATTAACTTAAGACAGAGATGATAACTGGCGTTTTTTGTTAGAAAACAAAACGAAGATGGTGAATTACGGTATGGTCTGTAAAATGTGGGAGACAATCACGATCACAATCAATTCCTTTTCCTTCTATCTGATAGGAGGCCTTTAATGTACAGGGTTTTAATGTAAAATAAAAAATAAACAATGGTGGCGGCGTAGCCAGGCGGGGAGGGGACAGAGCCCCTCTTCTGAAACATATTAAGCGACAAGCCGTGATATCCGCGGAGAGAAAACGTTTGTATACGAATGTAACACGTAAAGAGTTAGTTTCTAAATTGTCTTAACATAAACCAACTTTATTAACATTTCAAACAGTAGGCGGTGAATAGAAATAACTCGCGTTTACTATATGAACGAAGTAAAGCGTGTGCCACGTGTTGTTTCAAATGACATTTTAAATGGATTATAGTACCATAAGGATTGATTTAAACATCTACGCTAACCTCTGTAAACCAGTAAAATCTATTTTAGGAAAGATTTCTAAATTAGAACATTCTAATTTCGTTCACTATATAAGTGTATTATTTGATAGTAATCGGTTGAATATAGTGTTTTATAACAACTCACTTTGGTTTCATTAGAAATGTAGCTATTTCAATTACTCTGGTGATGATTTACTGCGGTACAAATTATATCACCGCCTATGTTAATATTTTGTATTCAATATAGTTTGTTGATAATTGGTCGAGTTTTCATATATTTGTGTTCATTTTCCTCGGATTACTGCTTAGTACAATGCTTAAGATGTATACACAATTACAGTAAAAATAGCGCATGACAGACGAGTCTTATAATGCGCGTATTCACTGGATTCTTTGTGTTATCATACAAATATCGATAGAGTATATTAAATACATCACGTTATTACATTATTCTTTCAATATTGATTTCCTATTAAACGACTCTAAAAATCATACAAACAACCATCTTTGTTATGTTGATTTAGGCTAAGCACATTTAAAGATGATATGATCTAATGTCTATATTTTGGAGAACGGAGAGAAATATTCGTCCTCACTTACGAAAACATTTCTAACAGCATGCGGGAACCGATCATAGCATATAGTAGGCCTACTATTGTGTCGCTAATACATAAGACCTTATGTGTTAACGAGCCCTTGTTGCTCCTACATACCCTCCTACACGTCATATCAGTAGTACCGTACATCGGTGCATCAAATAATTCGTACGCTCAGTACCGTGTAGCATCCTTCACGTGGCAAACTTTCAACGAAAGTAGGCCTTGTCCCAGGATGATTGTAGTAAAATTCCCGTCGTAGCATGTACTTTGCACATCACTTAATTGCTAAGTATTGCCTGCTATAAAAGCGCGCTTATATGGAGCTTTTGATCAACGGCGGTTGCTTGGCGAGTCCGCGTCGCTAACTCCTAAACAGACATCATTCACATCACGTGCTCGCGCGCACTTGGAGTTGGAGTTTGAAAAAATGAAACGTCAGAACGGCACGAGCATAGGCAGATACTAGAAGCAGTACGACTAATATATTCATCTCATTTAGTCATGTTTTATTGTACAGTATTATAAATTTTAATCAGCGAGATATACATAATAATAATAATAATAATAATAATAATAATAATAATAATAATAATAATAATATATTAATATATGCATTTATTAGTCGAAATCTCCTCATATATAAATATATCATTTAGTTAATGTGTTGTAATGGTATCGTTTAAAGTAATCCCTGCCAGATATAAGCCTAACGTTGTTATCATAACTGAGGCCTCTCTACTGTACTCCTTTAGAATATACAGGCCTATAATTAGGTCTATATGACACTCTATATAATACATTCTATTTATATTACATAGAATTATATAAAACATAATCTTTCATTATATTTATATATATACTGTATACCGTACTCTGTAATATCAACCACGAATGAGAGTGAATTTTAATCACCATGACATCATATATATATATGTATATATATAGGCCTATATATATATATATATATGTATATATATAAAATATAGGCCTATATGTATATATAATATAATATAAATATTATTAGTCACAACCTCCTACTAAATAAACAATTTTTTCGTTTCGTCTATTCAAATATATTTATCCTTTTAAACTTTTCTTCTTAGATAAACCAGAAAATATACCGGTATTATATATATAATATATACATATATGTATGTATGTATGTATGTATGTAGGCCTATATATACATTTATATTATTATTTATATATCGTAGCCTACGTATCCACATACAGTACTATCGATACGTATTAATTAATTTATTTATTTATTCAATCAATCAGGCCTACTTAGTGCGTATTTGAATATAGGCTTATTCAATATAAAAATTGAAAACAGAATGTTAAGATTGTGTTGATGTGAGTACTGTAGGTCAAATATGTTAGGTATCAAACAAGAATACCCTGAATAATTTACGGGGTGTATCTTATTTTTACACATGACGTAACTAGGCGTGCAAAGAATCAATGAACATATTCGAGCGCGTTTAGCTTATGTTGAGAACTTTCACACGACCAGCAAATTACTAGCAATCCAGGATTAAATTGGACACTGTGGCAAATGAAAGCTTAATTTTTATCTATCCTCGCTTGTACAGAAAATATCATCGTAAATTACCGACCTTAATTATTTACTTCATACGTGGCTAGATTCTGTAGGTGTCGATTTTTAGTAAACGACTCTTCAACAATTAGTAAATTGACTTACGTAAATTCATTGTTCTGGGCGGTTCGTATAGTATTCTGATAGAATTGTTAAAACATTTATTGTGGTTTGTTATTCAGAGCCTACCACTGCACTGATTGTCCGAGGGGCAACGAGAGCCTAAACTACATAGCCCTATAATACTGTATGTACGCCCCCTTGACCATTAATCATTGTACGGGCAAATATGATACGAATACTGTACGCGACCATGACGTCATGGAAGCGGCTTTAAATACACCAGCGTATGTCTAACAACTATCTGCATCACAGCCAACCGCGGCCTAGGTAACTGCATATGTTATACATTTTGAACAAACATGACTGATTTTTTTTTTATGTGACCAAATAAAATTATGCAAAGACATGTCGTTAAAAAGTCACTTTAAGGATAAATGTTGACTATATTTTAGTTGTAGGTTTTAAATGCATGCTTTCTCGGTGATAAATCACATAGGCCTACGAAGTTTACAATCACCTATCAATTGGCCTATGTTAGGCCTAAATAAGTACAACTGTAAGCATAGCCGTATTATATATACCGTATAGGCCTACTTTACAATTTCGATATTATAATCATCATCGTGATCGTCACCGTCAACATTATCGTCATCATTCTCATTATCAACATCATCACCAACATTTATCCAGCTATATAACATTCCCTTACATGTAGCTTATGAGGTTAATTTTCTAGGTACAGGGTCTATGTGTACCTACCTACTTCAATTAACAATCATCGTCCTAGTCAACAGTCTTACCATCCTCATCATTAGTACCATAATAAGTGTTATCATAATGTAGCAAAATGTTTATATATGGAAGGTTATAAATTGTAACCTACAAACTGTAAATGAATAGAAAATATCAAAGGACGTGCACGTAGAAAGTAAGAGTTGACAAATCTTAATCATCCCAATCAGCACATTATTAGTAATTATTGCAGACCAGATATTTCTACTTACTATTGATCAAGAAACCCATCTAGATTCAAAGCCTTCGGCTGATAAAACGAACTCGGACGCCTTGTTTGTTGACATTAGCAAAATTAATCCGACAGTGAGCTCTCGAATACAAAACAATGTTGTGAACGTAAACACCAAAGTATGTTCCCATCAGGTTTTCAGAATGTTCGCAAGCCCTAGAACCAGGTAGCCTGCCAGCTGACGTACTACCTGCTCTGATCCACGATACGACGGCCTGATAAATAGCACAACGAGCTATCTCAACATCTGTCCCACAAAACACATCGAATATTATATTTCGGCGCATCACGATAAACCAGTGTTGCCATGAGTAGTCGTTAAATCCAGACAGTGAGGTGGGAAAAAACAGTCCGTAGCTGCACTATGTTGTTTTCATTACTAATTATCATTAGGCATAGATGACATATTTATTCACTTCATAGTGTAAACACACAATTCTAGATTTATTAAATTAGGCCTCCTCTTAGCGCTCATAAATCTATCGGCTCGCTATATTACGTTTCTTGTTTTTGTAACATTTGTCGGTAAATGCACGATATATTTACTATATAACGAGTCAAGAATTTACTAGTAGCATTATCAAATCTTAAGTAACAATACTGTAGAATAATCTAGTATTATATAGACTATTATTGATCAAGGAATACAATGTCAAAATAAATTTTAATTGAATGTATTCAAACCTATTAAAATCACAGTTTTAGATTACCAAAACTAGGTTAAGTCACAACAATATAAGGGATGCATAACGTGCCTTTATAATACGTCTATTTTAAAAGGATACTAGGATAATAATTTAAGTACATTGTATGGATGTTGGTATACTGCACTCCCGATAACATATTCATTAAAGTTTGGGTCACACTACATTAATCTAAACGCATTACGCTACTCATATTGATATGTTCATTAAATCTTGATTCACACTGGAGAAATTAAGACGCGCGTTGCGTAGTATTTCGTTTTTACTTTACGAATATCGACAACATCAATAAACATGTTTTAAGTAACAAGGGATAAAAATGCCATTATTTAAACATATTGTGAGGATTTTATGTGTCGAAAAGATATCCTTTTTTAAAATATTACAGCGTTTAACGATCAGTAATCACGGAATATTGCAGGCTAAATAATAACGTCATAGCCTTTACCAGTACCGGCAACGTATTAATCGGCATTACTGTATGTATTTAATTCATTGCGTATCGAGGATCAAGTGAAAAGTGAATAAAATAATTGGGTCTTAAAGGAATGTTCAAAAGGCATAAAAAGGACACAGTAAAATGTAGACTCTGGTTCAGCAATCCCAAGAATTATAGTACATAGAATAATTTGGTTTCAATCGTGTTTTGAATAATGATTTTTCAATTGCCCCTAACTATAAACGTTTTCTCCTCTAACATTCTGCATCGTCATATGTTAGTACCGTGGCAATTACCTATGTCATCAATCTGTTCGCTACGCCTACTTCCAGTATCATTCTGGAAATTCTCCCTTTAAGATTTGGTCATAAGTGCTTTCCTTTTTTCTTCTTCATCGTTCTCGACAGTTCAACGCACAAGTTCACTTTTCACGGGCTGTGATATTTACCTTGCATTGTTGCCGGGCTGTGAAGTAATGGCATAATAATAGGCCTAAATAATAGTAATCCCTTACATAGATGTGCTTCCATGGCCTCAATTGATAATTTCACAATAGTACAGGTAGGTGATTTCCTCTCCTTTTCCAAAACTTCTTTCAGAGTGTTCGGATAATGGATAAAAATCAGTTAAATACTACCGTATAGAATAAACCCTTTTTTGACGAAAAAACTCAAATGAAAACATTTTAAGTTTGAAATATGGTATGTCAAACAGTACCGTACACCTGTATGTGACAGTAAAATTATCATGGGACAAGTATTTAAATACAATACAAATAACGAAAAGTGCGGTTTCCCTTGCAGAAATATGAAAAGTCTGAATGAAATTCTGCAAGATGATGGTAAGAGGAAAAACTCACCAGGCGACAGACGTTTCGCCAGTGGTCGTCATCTCGCAACATTATATCCGATAATGTATTATTCATTGGTACATTGACTCTAATCCTTAACCAGGATTCGTATATTTTTATTGAAGCAATGCGCCACTGGCAGACAAAGTTAATTCCTACTCACTCCCTTGTCGCTGATATCGCCGAGACATTTTAAAGACGCTGTATTTTGAGATGACGTAGTAGGCGCGCATGAATATCTAACGAGAGCTAGAGCGCGTAATAATTATGGCTACGTGCAATATTCTAGACAATACCAGAATGGAAAGCTGCGGATGTTTCGTTACAACATAACTAGACGGATTAATACGACCCAAAAATAAACAATGACGTAAGTTCATATGTGAGCAACTTTAAGTTATAAAGTTACTCGTATCAACGGTAATCTATGTCGAAAGCTGATGGAATATGAGGAGTATCAACTCAAAGATTCTATATAGCTTTGACTTATTTTGAACTCTCATTGGTTTATTTCTGCATCTATAGCATAGAATTGATATAGGCCTAAATTAGTAATAAATGTAGAACTATACCTAATAACAATAATAAGCATTTACAGGTAAATCAAACTAGGGTATACAAATACATCAATACAAAATACAATCGAGTTTCTTAATACTATGCTAGAGGTGTTTACACTGTAAATACAGTATTAACTATTGTATACATCGATGATAATTTCAATAAAGCCATGAGAAATAATATAATTGACAATCATAACAGAGCTTTGACTTCAAGTGATTCTATATAAAAATTAACTAGAACTGAAATGGACATGAGACTTTTCGACGTCCAGTTCTATCAGCTTAAAGAATAAACTGCTCGTGTCAAAGTGATACTCTGTTATAAGAGCAACGTTTTAGCTTTATCTCATTGACAATCACGATGACGATGAAGATGATGATGATGATGAATATGTTGATGATATTGATGATACTGCTGGTGATGATAATGACGATAACTGTACAATATTTTTATTATCATCATCCTCTTTGTTATCATCATCAGAATTATCATCATTAGCAGCATCATTAGCATCAGCAAATACATCCTCATCATCATCGTCATCGTGATAGTCAACATCCTCATTAGTATTATTATCATCATCATTATGCATTATCATCATTACTTTCTCTTTTTCCGAAAGGGGAGGAGCTTTCGGCACGTTTCAGAGTTAGGTAGATTCGTGTCAACTGAACGCAGGGAGAAGCAGCGCGGCCCCTAAGCCATAAATGCACTACAAGTGCCTGTCAGTTGACTCGAAAATGCCAAATAGGCAGATAATTATGATAATAATAATTGGTATAATGACGATGATGTTGATGATCACGATGATGATAATGATGATGATGATGATGATGATGATGATAATGATGATGATGATGAAGATGATGATGAATATGCTTATCCTAATTATGATGCTGCTGATGATAATGACGATGAAATAGTGTCAATATTAAATTATCATTTTTATTATCATCCTCGTTATTATCTTCGTCATTATCATCATCGTAATGATCATCAGCACATTCATTATCTTCATCATCATCGTTGTGATCGTTAGCATCTTCGTCAATATTATCATTATCATAATGCCTATTATTATTATGTTTTATCTGCCTCTTCGCCCGAACGGGGAGGAGCTTTCGGCACGTTTCAGAGTTAGTTAGTCTCGAGTCAACTGAACGCAGGGAGGAGCAGCGCGGCCCCTAAGCCATTAAAGCGCTGAACCTTACTACCAAGTGCCTGTCAGTTGACTTTAGAATATCAAAGAGGCAGGTTATAATGATAATGATATAATAAGTGGCATAGGCCCAATGATGATGATGATGATGATGATGATAATAATGATGATAACAATCACGATGATAATGAAAATGATTATGAATGATTATGCTGATGCTAATAATAATGCTGCTGATAACGATGAAATAAAGTTGAAATAAATAAATAAATAAATGATAGCAATGATAATGACGATGGTGATAACGGGGATGATAATAGCAATTAGTAAATATCAAATTATGAAGGCAAATTATTTTAAATGCTTCAAGTTCACTCTGCCTATATTAGGCTTACTATCAGGATTGCATTTACAGCGCATAAAGTTTATGACATCGAAATGTATGCGCATCGAACTGCCTGTCTCACAGTCAATGGGTTACTGTATCAAACCTCTAATCAGTTGCACAATGTCGTAAAAGTAATAATTCCCGAAGCAATTATGTTTTAAAAAGATTAACTAAATTGTATAATACATTGTGAAATTTCCCAAAAGACTGCATCGGATTTGAATCTCATTAAATCAGCCATGTTGCAACTACGAACAGAGTAGTTCTACCATCAAGGTGGTATGAATAAATATTTATACCTTAATTTGCCTACGCACAACAGCGTAAAAACTACACATTAAAAATGCATTCGTACATCCATAATACTAAGGTACTAAAGCGAGAACTGTATTGTTAATTATTTAGGCTGAAATCCCAATGGTAAAATTACATTATTTTTGTTTGAAATAATGTTAATCCGCAGTTATGCTCCTATTCTTCAACCTGTCTATGAACCGATCCCGTGTTGTTAAGCTTGGAATAAACTGCTCAAGATTATATCCAACAAAAATAACTTCATGTTGCCCAAACCAGACACCCAAATCACGAAATCTAGGCAAGAAATCAATTGTTTTATCCAGTGGTGGCGCCAGGAATTTCCCCGACAAAAAAAAGTGGGCGTGGTAGGGCGTCACTAAAAATCTCTCGAAAATAATCAATGGGGGCGAAGGCATGACAAATATGACAAGTTAGTGGGTTTAAAGGTTTATTTAATCGATTTTGGGTCGACAGTACTAATATGTACAAAAAATACACATACTTTTTTTTCTCCCCGACGAATTGTGGTTGTTCTTCCCGAAGCTCTTCCCAATCATCATGTTTAAAATACATAATGAATATCCATCGATATACGGTAAGTATTGTAAGATATAATAATAAATTAAATTTCTATTTATTCTAAATTAGATACTTTTGAATGGAGATTATGAACTAAATTCACTATATAAACAGCGGCAACATTATAATTGGTTATAATGTTGTTTTTTAAATGTGTAATTGGTCTTAAATTGGAATTGTAAAATATTCAGTTCATTTAGACGTTAAGACATAGACTTATAAACATGCAATAGCAGAATCACTTCCAAGTGCCTTTCAAAGCCGATGTGAAAACAATATCTTCAATATAAATACTGAAGGGCAATATTTTATAATCCAGGTAAATTATGGATCATCA